TATCTAGGTGCCTGAACCAACTGCCAGTGTTGGTAATGCTATGAAAAGCACAAAAGAAGAGTAATCTCACCGAGCTGTCATTTATTGTTCCAGAGGAAAATGGCCCAAGAACGGTTTTGAAGCCATTTCTGGGACAACTTGGTGCAGCGTTCATATTTACGAGTACAATAAGTTCGTCGTGCAGTGGAACAGATTGCATCACAGCTGCTAGCTGCTAATAAAATTCATCTTCATTAGCATCTGTAGCTTCCTCAGTGGCAGCACAGGCTACATTGATGGACAGCTGCCCATGGCGATGCCTCAACCTGGCATATAACAGTCAATCAGAAATAGGGTGCTACATTGTAAGTCAACCACACTAGGGTTCAAACTCATGGTTCATCTGTGTGTAGGTAGATCCAATGCTGTGCTTAAACATGATGGTTACAAATCATATTTTCAATCCAAAGGTAGAGAGAATCATATGATAAGTATGGGGGGGGGTATAGGTGTATGCGTGGTGGGGGAATTTGCAGAAATGAGACTTGCACAAAGGGAAAGAGACATTCATTTGTCAGCGTCGTCTGTGCAATGTTGCACACTCAACTCTCATTAAAAGTAATGGGAGCTGTATGCACTTCCCACCATAGTATACTGAAAACTATGCTGTTTAAATAAATGTACACAAGAAAAATACGCGCAAAAGTCTTATTGCTCTAAGGGTATATCTGCACTGGAGCTGGAGTTGTAATTTCCAGTTTGGGCAGATATATCTGCACTACCACTGAGCAAGCTAGCATACTAAAGATAGAAGTATATCCATGGCTGCATGGGTGGTGGGAGAGGCTAGTCACCTCGAGCACACACCTAGGGTTTTAGATGGGATTGTATTGTGGGGGCGAGCCTCTCCTGCCACTCACGCAGCTGCAGCTAGGCTGCTCATTTTAGCGAGCTAGCTCAGTCAAACCTAGAACTGCTACATCTATTACACCTCCCAGCTACAGCATGGGTATATCCTAAATCAAACAGTGTGTCACTTCTGAATCGATCACCAGCTACACAGAAACAACAAGGAATCCGGTGGCACCTTGAAGACTAACAGATTTATTTGAGCATGAGCTTTCATGGGTAAAAACCCCACTTCTTCAGGTGCATGGCCATGAAGTGGGGTTTTTACCCACAAAAGCTTATGCTCAAATAAATCTGATCTGGCTACTGGCTGGCCTGGGTGCTTTTACAGATTTATACACCTTCATGGTATCACTAGCCAATCTTCACCGCATGATTACTTTCCTTTTTAATTGGCTCTTTTCTCATCAGCAAATTTAATTAACTGACTTAAGGGATGCTAGAGCAAGCAAAACCTAAAAGAAAAAAAGGAAGTGGCTTTAGTTCATTTGCAAGAATGAACCAATTAAGCCACACTATACCCCAGTGATTCAGGAAAGGCAATGTAGGGAACACTTACCCAACACAGAAATGCAGCCACCCTTGGAGTAGTCACAGCTGCTTAACTTTATTTATTTAAAAGCACACACTGACATGACATGAAATTGGACTAAATTTTCTACTGGTTTAAATGGATGCAACTGCACTGATGTCAATGGAGTTTTGCCCATTTACACTAGCAAAGAATTTGGCCCAGAGTCCTTACCATCACCAAGTCCACTGGACTATGTTATTTCCATGATATCCATTCTCCACTTGCTTCTACGTGGCTATATAGGATTCCTTCTTCACCACTCTTCATAACAGGCCAGGTTTTGATACCCCTTGCTAGCACGGAATAGGACAATGGAAAGGCAGCGTAGTCTTTGTGGCTAGGGGATGACAGCAGGTTCTAATGCTGGTTCTGTAACTGACCTGTGATGTAACCTTGGGCAAGTCAGTTCACCCTCTGTACCTCTGCTCTGCTTCCCCTTCCACACTTTGTCTCTCTCTTTTCTAGACTGTAAGCTCTGCAGGGCAGATGCCGTCTCTCACCATGGGTTCGTATAGCACAATGGGGCCCTGATCTTGGCTGGAACCTCTAGGCATTACTGCAATATCAACAGCAACAGGGTTACTCAGAGTGATACACTACTCAACATGAGGAAGGTTATCAGAATCTGGCCCTATCGATCTCGTCAAGGACATGTACTCCATGCCACTGTGTTCTGATGAAGTAGTAGATAATCACAGGCCAGCGATTTCAAAAATGACTATTTTGTGCGCTCTGGTACAACGCGGTGATGTGATCATTTCAAAGATCATCAGTTAAATCTAACTGCTGTGTAAGAACATGTGACAGTTTATTTTTATGAATCAGTTAACTTTTGATTAACTCATTATAAAAAAAAAAAGGATCCATAATAAAAGGTCAGCCATCCAACCACCTGACACCAACTTAATTTGCTCTAATGAATTGCGTTGTATTTCATTCCTTGTTCCTGATCATAGGGAGCTGGTATTCTGTAGGTAAGGACTGGAGTATTGCACTCCTGAAGAAAGAGATCACCTGACTGAAGATTCCAGGAACAAATTCATTATTACACATGAAAGGGAACATTCAAGATGGCCTGCATGTAAAGACATGCTTAAATATAGCCTTTTTGCTGTGGAAATTTCTGTGCATGAAGGGCAAGATTTAAAATGCTGATCAGCTTTTTTCACTGACTTGACAGCCGTTTCTGCCATGTAAGAAATACAGAGCTTTGTAATAATATTTTTGGGTGCAGATTCTCTTTTTAATGGCTCAGAAACATTGTCGGAACATTACAAAAAAAAATCCTTCCCTCTTTTCCTTTAACTCACGGAGCATAAACTCCGCTTATGGCCCTTGCTTGACTGCAGGACTGGGGCACATCAAGTTTCAGGATCTCTACAAGGCTGCAGAAGAGGCCACCCACAGTGGCAGCCCCTGTGCTCCCTCAGCTCTAGGGACTGCTCACTCCTGCTCCTCCCAGAGACCACAATGCCAAAAGTGGGGCAGGTGGGGTGAAGAGCAGATGGACTCATGGCCATGGAGGGAGCAATTAATTGCATCCCAATGTCTAAGGCAAAATTCACCCCCTATACAGCGCTGGGAGAGACTGTGCCTGCCTGAGACAGTGCTCCTCCAGGGACCATTTGGCTCCACACTGCCCTCTGCACCACAGTGGCATGAATGCTACCATCTAGTCCAGTGTAACAACTGGGACCGAATCCTATTTGCATTATAATTTTTAGCAAAGCCATTGTCACCATTCACAAAATCAATTTCACAGAGAATGCTTGGGCATGAATTTTGCTCTTGATTACCCCAGTGCAACTGCACTGGTGCAGACAAGAGCAGAATTTGGTTTTTAATGCTTCTGAGCATGGCATTAAAAAGTGGAAATGAAAGTTAAAGAACAATTCAAAACGGCATCTGGTGCGGTTTTTTGTATTCTTGAATTTGGTATTTTCTCCTCCTGGTAAAGAAAGCATGTATTAAAATATGACCAACAGATGTGGTCTTTATACAACTCTGTTCTTTTCTACAACTTGTTTGCCCACAGAAATATCATTCAAACTCATACTACTGAAGACAATTGGGAGAGTGGACTGCTCAGTCGATGAATAGTGAGTTATGCAGCCTTTCACTTCTAGGTTACTAGTTCAAATACGACAGAGGTCAACAGAGACCAAAATTCCCATCATCCAATGGCTGTTCAGTGGCCAACTGAGATGAGCCAGTGGTCTCTGCCTGATTCTTAGTGAACAGATGTCCATACCATAAAATCATCACAACAGGCATCGTGTCAGTTGACTTGGGCTTGTGGAGCTATAAAATTGCCGTGTAGACATCCAGGCTCTTGGGCTGGTGGCCTGCTTGTGGGGTTCCAGGGCTCAGGCTAGAGCCCAAGCCCAGACATCTACATTACCATTTTATAGCCCCGCAGCCCAAGTCTGAGGCCGCTGACACAGGCCAGGAGTGGGTGTTTTTTTGAAGTCTAGCCATACCCTTTATTGGCAGTCTCAGCCAACAAGCCAAGGACTGAAGAGGCATGAAAATCCAAACTACCCTCTTCATTCCTTTTGCTACAATAGAAAACCCATAAAAACAGATGCTTCAGGTCTGGGTTAAGACACTTCGAAAGGTAGCACATGGAAGCCTGCACTGCCATTTCTTGTACTGCATATACTGTGCAACTACTAAGAAGGCTGCAGTTTGCAAGGGTGTGTCTGCCCTTAGAAACTTCTTAAATGTTTTTCCACAATAATACATCTTTTCCAGTGCTATCAACCAGATAAGCCACAACATAGACCAGGAGCAGTCATTTTTACCACTATGTTATCTAACCCTGCTCTGAGAAACTTTTGTGTGTGTCAGTTTCCATTGCATGTTTTCATAACTGAAGTAAGCAAATCCCAAATTCAACAATGCAAAAACCCACCAAAACACCACCTGGACATTTGTCATCAATCTCTTTTCAGAGTGTTACAAAAATCCAAAGAGTCAACAATAAATCTCAGCACTTACTTTGGAAGCTCAGTACCTTAATAGTGTCCCTTTAAAAATACAGCCATAAACAAACCAATTTATATAACAGTGGTATAATGGGCTAGCACAAGACGTGCACAATCCTCAAAGTAAAAATTATGTGGAGTCGCAAAATGAGTATTGTTGTAAGGTCTAGGTTGATCATCAGATACTTCCTTCCACCTATCTCTCATTCCTCTGACTTCTCCAGGAAGCACTTTAGGACCCAGTTCAATTAGCCTGCCTCTCTTCTCAGTGGAAATGCTTTCCCAGTAGCACCAATTAAGAGTGAAACTGACAAGGTGAGTTCCTAGACAGTTCCATATTACAGGTGACAACACCAGGAAAGCTTCTGTGCAGAGAAGCGTGATGCTAATTAAGCTTCTCTAGAAATGACAGAGCTGACTGTCCCATAAATGTTAGCTTGCTGAAAAAGATGAAGACATTGCGTAGGCTAAAGTGCATGCATGGGGCAGCTAATTTGTTTACCTCGGAGACAGCCAAGATAGCATCAAATCAATAGCAAGAATGCTTTTACCTGTAAATACTAAGCTGGCATTTTCCAGTTCTTCTTGAGGAACCTTGAAACTGAAGGACTCATTGTAGAAGGGATCTATTGTACCCTTCATGCAAGAGGTTTTCTTGGTTTTGGCTAATTTTAATCCATGAACCAGCTGAATTTTCACAAAGGGATCTGAAAGAAACACAAACACAATTCCAGCTTTACAGGTGCAGCCAGTCAATGTTCCTGTCTCAGAAAGGTTCTGCACAGTTGGGACCAGAGTGTGGAGCGGCACTGTGGAGGAAAAATAGCTTTGGGGAGGGATCTGGACTCTTATCATGTCCAGGTACCAGGTGACTTGCAGTGGAGATGTACAAGTCTCAGGCAGCAGAATTCAGAATGTTTCTGTTGACTCTGCATGGAGTGCAACAAATGGTGACCTTGACAAAAGCCAGGTATGTTGTTCTCACTGACAGATGTCAATAGTCTGACAACAGCAGCAGCTGGAGTAGGGAGTGAGGGAACTATATCGTGAGGGAGAGGGAGAATCACCAGCTGCTAGAATGATGAAATAGACCTTTCTCCATACTCAGGTGAGGGGTGAGTGGGCATTGTCAAAAATCACACAGCAGAACAAGTTTTGCAGAATTAAACCGCCTTTATATTTAACACTCACACAACACTTTGTGTCTGCAAAGCACAGCACAAACATTGAGAAATAATCCTAAACCACAAAAGCAGAGGCAGGGATAGCATTTGGAAATTCCTGGTTCCCAATCCTAGGCTCCGGCCAGTAGATTTGGACTATCAATGTTTGATTTATATATATATTTTTAAAACCACATATATGAGAGCTTTTCAAAGCCATGCATTAATTTTAATGGGAACAAAGTGTCCAAATCATTTAGGTGGAATCAAAAAATGGCTGCCTAACTATATAGGACAATTTTAGAGCACACACAAACATGCAGGAGTGATCTGAGAAATACACTGCCCTTTACCTGAACCTTGGCTCATATCTGTCTGAAGAAGTTGTTTCGCTCGAATAATGTCTACATTCAGTCTTCCTGCACTGGGAAGGTAATTTAGTGATAGCAGCAGCTCTCCCAACTCGACTTCATTCTACAAGGAAAAGGAAATATGAGAATATATAACTGCAAAGTCAGCTAGAGAGACAACTGCAATTCAACCAACAAAAACAGATCCCCTAATGGACTGAAATGGCAGAAAAACATTTTAAGTCACATTCCATTTTCATCATCTTCAGGAACCATTTGGGGCCTTGCACTGAATAAGGTATAAATAAGCTTACGATCCCCTGCTAGTAGGTTTGCTTCACTATATTTACACATCAATCACTGAACATGGTTCCGTTTTAAAATTGCCATCATTACGCCGTAGTCTGCTTGTGACAGAGGGCTGGGAACCAAGAACTGAGCCAGCACTCTGGTCACTGAAACACCAATTAATTCTCCCCAGGGCCTAATTAGTGGATTACAATGGGCTGGAGGAGGACCAATGAGGAACTTGGCCCATTAACCCAGCAGGTTTAAGAAAGCACAGGAAGGCAGTGCAGGAGGGAGAATGAGAACCAGTCTCTGGAGAGAATGCTCTCTCCCCAGTAGAGACCTGAGGAGGAGAAACTGAAACCGTACCTAATATGGTGTGTGGAACGGTAAGGTGATGGGAAGAGCAAATGTGAATAAACTGCACTGGAGTGTTTAGCAGCTGAAGGGCCCTCATCGGCATAGCGAGAACACAAGGCAGGAATGGGTTGTCACCCTGTCAGAACTGTTTCAACGGGATGCACAAGGAGGAGGAATCGCAAGAGCTGTAATTTTCCTTTCTCGCATTTGAAGTTTTTCCATCTAGTCCTAACCTTAACAATTTAACATGACTGATCTGCGGTTAACATCCAAAATACTGGCCCAATCCTGCAAAACAGCCACACACAGAACTGCCATTGACGACCCTGGAAACTGTGGGCACGGAATGCTTAGAGAATCAGACTCTATGGGATTAAGTAGCATTTCCTTTGTGGTATAAGCTGACAATAGGGAGGAAATTCAGAGGTGGCATTCACTTACGAGCTTGTTCCCTTACTCCCTGATATTGCAGCATGTCATGCACTTATCTGAGAGCCGGGCTTACCAGTGTCCTTGCTATTCAGCAAACTGTGTTCTGACCTTAGCTTTATATAAACATAGCTGTTTATCCATTAATCCCACTTTCACTGACTTAACTGAAACAAGTAAAAGTGTCTGAGAGCAGATATTACTAAAAGCTGCCTAAAAGTGATTGCTTAAAATACTAATGATTGACATGCACTGCCTTTGAAGCTTCCTGATGCTGTTATTGTATGAGTGTGATGAAAATACGTATCCAGTGAGCACCATTGTTGGTTTTACATTCACCTTTCCGATACCTGCAATAACCATGGTATCTTTCTATTCTCACCACCAGAGCTGAGCCCACCCCAAAAACTCCCACATCCAAGTACTGGAGAAGTTCAGACCCAGGTCCCGATCTGATCTGTGTGGCCCATCTCAGCAAGGAAAAGGAGAGACAATGGTCCACAATCACTACAGAAAGGACAAGACCTTTTAAAGGCACCACCGCAAGAGATGTTATTAACCACAAGTGGACACAAATTACAACAGCAATTAGTGTTGTGGGAAATGTCTGTCACAAACCTGAAATTAGAGGCAAGTTTGCCAAAGTATACAAACCCAAGTCAAGTTTCAGGTAAACCCGGGCAGGGCACTGAACAAACTGGGGCTTGGATTCCAGTGAAATTGGCCAGCTAATCATTTTTCAGGGGGAAACTAGGCAAAATGTGACAGTTCCAGCTGAGTGTGGCATTTTGGGCTGAAATGAACCATAACACTCAGAACAAAACTCGAGCAGGTTTGGAGGCTTCCCCTGCTCAGGAGAGCTCCCTCCAGAAGTAAATAAAGCCTCGGCATTCCTTCTAGGTTTGGTAAGGACCCTCCATTTCCTGCCACCCTCCCCCATCCTCAGCTAGGAAACTCTAATCCCACCTGCGGCCTGCGGCAGAACATCACAGAGGTGGCTCCTGCTTCTTAACACAGGCCCTTTTTGACTTCCCTCATTAAAGATCCTAGGGCAGAAAATGAGTAGGGGCCATTAAATCTGGTATCCTGGTCCAATCCCAACTGTGGTAATTACATTCTGTCCACTCAGATTCCCCTGCAGTAGTTTCTCTTCTATATTGTTCTTATTGACGTTTCAGGACTACATGACAGAGATGCTTTTGGAACACAGGTAAACATGTAGTAGATTGAGCAAAGCTCTGCACTTCAGATCTGAACTGAATATGGCATTCTTTTCCACTTTATGCCCTAAATTAATGTTTAGCATCACTGTGGGTTAATTAATTAATTGTCTGGTTCCACCCCTAGAGGTGACTGCATTTCAGTAGCGAGTAACATAATTCCTGTGTATTTAAACCCACATTCTCCATTCTGCTAACGCAAGCCGAAATTAGTGACCTCGGAAACAAGCCAGGTGGTGTGGCAGTATCTGCCTCACCCCCCTGATTGCACAGTGACCTTTCCACTGTATGTCTGTGGGTCAAGGCTGGGAGGGGAGTGGCTAGCCTGGGAGGGAGAAGATGGGTAGATGGCATCATCTCCTCTCAAACCTGCATGAACTCCTTCATGGGGGGAAACACAGTCAGTATTTGGAGCAGCAACCAACAGGAAGAATATGGTAGCAGCGCCTACGGCAGAGGGATTTTCTGGCAGTGCCCACAGCCCTGCTTTATGAATAGGTGAGGGACAAAAGGTTAACCTGGAAGATTTAGGCAGACAAAACGTTACGTGACGTGGCACTGCACAACTTTTTCATTAAACAACCAGAACATACAAAATTAAGGTGGCACACATGAAACAGATCAGTAACGGACTAACTGCTGCTGGAATACCATGGCCATTTCTTTGATATCCACTACTGAAGGAGGATGTTGATAGATTGGAGAGAGTTAGAGATAAGCCACAAGAATGATTAAAAGACACTTTTTTTTAGTGCCTTTTAATGACAGACTCCAGGAGTTCAATCTATTTCGCCTAACACAGAAGGTTATGGGGTGATGATCACAGTCTAGGAGTACTTACACGGGAAGCAAACAAACATTTGATAATGGGCTCTTCAATCTAGCACACAAAGGGATAACAAGATCCAATGGCTGGAAGTCAAAGCAAGAAAATTCAGACTGGATTAAAGGTGTAGATTTTTAACAGCGAGGGTAATTAGCCAATGGAACAATTTACCCAGGGTTGTGACGGATTCTCCATCACCGGCAATTTTTAAATTAAGATTGGATTTTAAAAAAAAAAAAAAAAGAAGATCTGCTCTAGGAATTATTTTGGGGAAGTTCTATGCCCTGTGTTACACAGGAGGTCAGGCTATGTAATCACAGCCATCCCTTCTCACCTTGGAATCCATGCTAAAAGAAATATGAAAGGGGGTTTCTGGTCACAGAGCTGGGTTCAGTCAATTGGCTACGCAAAGTGAGTGTGTGCACTACTTAACAGACCTAGCGAGGCAACTGGAGTTGCTGAGTGACCGTCCATCTGGGAAGACGCTGCCCATTGCATAGGCCAAGGAGATAAATTTGGGGATGGCCCCACCGGGGATGGCCAACCTGGTCAAAGAAATCAAGCAGGGCAATAAGTCAAACCTAAAATCTGAGGAGATGGAAAGCATCAGCCTTTATGAGTCTCCCTGAATGGATGCCCTGATCCTGAACCCTCATCATTACTCCCTTATCCTGGTTACAACAGATGGCAATATAAATAGATGCAGTGCACACAGACTCCAAATTAACCATTCACCACTCTCCATTTCTTCCCACGGTAAACTTCATTCTTGTTTTACCTCAAAGAAAGATGAAGAAAGCCCCCTCCACCCCCCACAAACATGCACTTATTCTTGTCGGCCCAAGGAATTCAAACATTATATTCACACCTCAACTGCTAGAAGAGGGCCTCATCCTCCCTGATTGAACTAACCTCGTTATCCCTAGCCTGATTCTTGCTTGCATATTTATACCTGCCTCTGGAAATTTCCACTACATGCATCCGACAAAGTGGGAATTCACCCACGAAAGCTTATGCCCCAATACATCTGTTAGTCTATAAGGTGCCACAGGACTCTTTGCAAACATTATAACTGTGATACTAAGAGACTAGCATTGTAATCTGAATCTTCAATACACAGGTAATTCCCTCTGGTCAGGAAGGCACTGCCCAGGGGAGATCTAAATCTGGATTTACACACTGTACTCTGCACCAAGGATAGGTCCAAACCCTACCTAAGCACATGACTGTGCCCAGTCTCAGCACTGAACAGGCAGCTGAGTGGGTGTTATTAAAAGGTGTTTAGAAAAATTAGTGGAAATGTACTGTCTATACCAGACGATTTTTCCCAGCCAGTTTCTTATTGAGATTGTGCATGCGCTTGGGGAACTACTGCCAACCATCTGTGAGATGAGCCCAAGCCCTTAATAGCTATCTTAAGCTAGCAGAGAAGCCTTAGGCATATTATTAAGGATAGTTAATGCCTTCCTTTTGGAGAGCAACACACCATCCATGCTTCAACAAATACTGTCTAGGCCCTTGCTCAAAAAATCATCATTGCTAGTGGGGCACCTAGGCAATTGTAATATCCTGATCCCTAACCCTTCACTAGTACCACAACAAACCTTAGGATAACTGATTATCTACTTGCTTACATATGGCTGATGTAGACAGTAGCTTGACACTGGGTCGCTCCCAGCGTGGGTCTTCACACTCTGTGAAATCAGTCCTGGATTAGTCTCACAGACAGGAATAATGTCCCAGACATCACTGCACTTCGTCCGATCACTGCACCACAAAACAGGCTGCTGCCACTCAGGACAAAGCCTCTTGAACGGCTGATTCTGAATCCTGATAGACTAGTCACAGCTTGGCATGCAGGAAGTGGCGCGGGCCGCAGGGGCGTGCTGGCCGCCACTTCCCGCAGCTCCCATTGGCCGGGAATGGTGAACTGCGGCCACTGGGAGCTATGGGTGGCCGTGCAAATGTAAACAAACTGTCTCACGGCCTGCCAGCGGATTA